AAGTGTCTAAACGTAACTTCACACTTCGCAATCCCAAGTCGTGTTGTCAAAAGAAGTGCTATCAGTTTGCAATCCGTTTATTTGGACTCAGGATTTTGCGAAAACATCCATCATAAACAACGCTGTACTGGTTGAGGCTTTCAATATGCAGCGGATGATGTCTTCCGCCAATTTGGACACTCCACATCGCCCGCCCTCTTCCCAGCCACCTGTCTCTGCTTCGCGCAGCAGCTTTGTGCCCCTGGGAGGCGTGGATAGATCAGGGTTGCACAAATGATGATGGTTCTTTCCCGGGAGGTCCAAAGGCCAGTGGCAGTCATCATGCTCTACCTGGCCGCGTTGCAGCCTCTGAGTCATCATCTGCCAATGGTGGGGGTGCTGCACAGGTCATGAAAAAACCATCCAAATCAGCCAAACGAAAAGCCAACCAGAATAAGGATGATCAAGAGGAAGGGGAATCTGAGCCTGAGCCACTGGGGGGTCATGATGATGATCAGGATGACAATGGTTCTGATGGCGATGGTGGTAGTAGGGGAGATGATCATGTCCCAAAGGACTTGAAATCCTCGAAATCCTACAAGAAACCTGCTACAGCTTCCAAAGCTGCAGCGAAGAGAAAGCCATCTACCCGCAGTAAGAAGAAGGCAAAGGACTGATTGAGTTGCCATCAACCACTTATGAATAATGGCCGTCAGTTTGTGCGCTGTAATTAACCAAAACTGATTGCGTGAGGGATCACCTGTTCTAAGCACTGATCCAGGAAGACCAGCAAGAAGGTGAACGAGCACAGAACGTCATACAAACACCTGCTAAGATGTTTCTTGGCGTGAACCGCATTATCATGACTGGCTTATGCATATTGTTTTTAGTATTGAATTGTGAATGGCAAAGCTAGCAACCAATGAAATCCACACCTGATGCGCCAAGGCCCAAGTCAGAATCTCTCGATTGGCCAGACAACCAATTGGGATTGCCGACCCCTGAATCGGCCATGAAATCTTTCCAGGAAGCTTGGATGAATTATATGAATTGTAATTCTGATCTTGGCCATATTCCAGCTGACAATTCCTGATGTGTTTCCAGCTCACTGCCGCCTCCCTCGTTTCACTCCCTGGTTTCCCCAACCGCTGAAGGCAGGCCTCGATGACAGATCTGGACTGAATGGCAGCCCATCTGCGCCAAGTGTTCCTGAGACTTGGCCGCCAGATACCCATGACATATATCGAGCCATGCTGGTTTAACTATGAAGGTCAACAACATGTCAACAACATTTTTGAAATTGAGTGGGGGGGATTGGAAACATTTTCTTCCGTGACCGAGGAGACGCTACCGGATGCTGACACGCAGACTCCGCAAAACATTGCTGAGGCTGGGGTCCAGTATTCACACGTCATGTGTTTTAAAGAAAGGCCACGAGACACTCTTGCCTCTCTTTCTCTCTATGTCTGTCTCTCTCTCTCTCTCTCTCTCTGTGACCCTCTATCTCTCTTTAAACAAGTTTTGCCTTGCTGACTTTAGAGTCTTTGTCTTCGCCCAGGACCCCTATCAGCCGGTGGAGGAGGAGACTTTGGAACTTCCGGATTCTGAAGCAGCACCTGATGCCTCCGTCAAGTCTGAGGAAGGGTGGGTCACACGAGAACAAATGCAGAAAACCCATGATGCCATTACCGATTGTCTCAGCCTTCTTGAGCCATTCATCCACCCAAACACCACTCATGAAAGCACGCAGGAACCAGCGGCAGAAATTTGTGGGACTTCACAGGGGCCCGCTGGTGCTGAGTACCATCCAGAACACATCGAAGAGAGTGCGCTGGAACCAATAGTTGAAATTGATGAGGCTTCCAGTGGAAATGGTGGCGATGATGAACATCATCCAAGCCAGAATCAGCAACCACCAGTGGCTGAAGCAACCGCTGGAAATGACTCTGACGGACTCTTCCAGGAATCAGCGGCTGAAACTCCTGAGGCTTTGAATGGAACCCCTATGGAAGCTCAGGAAGCCTCTGCTTCCAAGAAAGAGATGGACGCAGCTCAGGAGATCCTGACTGCACCTGTCACTTCAAAGAATTTGGCAAGGAAGTACTCCACTCTGGTGGGAATCCTGAAGGGCTCCACTCCTTGCCCTAGGTTTCAGGCAGGCGAGCTCCCTGAAGAGGCTGATAGGATTGCAAAGATCCTTGAAAAGCGATCCGGCAAGAAGAAGAAGAGGGGGACAGCCTCTAAGGTTAAGGGGAAGAACTGTCAGGTCCTCTCACCTCTCTCCCACAGATTGACGATTTTGAGGGCAGCCAAGAAGGCCTGCGAGCATCGTAAGCATGCCAAGCATTCCAAGCGTGGCAAGGTGGCACCGAAGGCAGTGGAATTTGAACAGTCAAGCGGATCATCCAAGAGAAAGGCTGCGCCTAAGGGCAAGCCAAGTGCGAAGGCAATGGCACCCCGTCGACGATCCAATACCTCCACAGCAGCAAAAGCAGCAGCAGCAGCAGCAGCAGCAGATCTAAAACAGGATGAGTTCGAGGATGAGGCCGCAAAGGCAAAGCGCCTGGTGAAGAAAGCTCATTCAGTGATTTGGATGCAGGATATTCTGTTTGCATATTCTTATTATAAATTCTTTGTCTATCCTTTGCTGAGCAAAAAGTGAGTCTCCTTCTCCCACGCTTTCTCACAACCATTTGTTTTTTTTTTCAACCGGCTTCAGCCACATGTGAGGTCTACTCTACTGCTTGGAAGAAGGCAAAAAAGGATGGCTTGGAGGGTGATGCGATCCGTCACTATGCTAACAAACAGCGTGCCCAGCTACCCGGTGGCGATTTAGTGTGCTTGAGTAGCTCGATGCAAGAGATCTCTCACAGTTTCTCATATCTCATATGTTCATCAGGTTCCGTTCAGCCAATATTTGAGTTCACTGTGAGGTGGATCATGACCACGGCTGACCATGACCATCCTGCTCTTGGGAAGTTTCTGACCGAACGCTAGGGCGGCAGTTTGGGGGTATCAGCTAAACTTGGATGTTGGGCACTGATGCATCCAAGTGTCGCAGGCAAAGACCGCCGCCACCACTTTGGTCAAAAAGATGCAGCGGCCGGCAGCGAGAAGCGAATCAACCCTCATGAATCCTCCTCATACTCTAGACCCAGATACCAATTGGAAAGGACCTAGAAGCAACTGGACTTGAATATATATATATATATATTCTATGTTGCTTCGCAGGTGTTGTTTTAGCTGCGGCGCAACGGAATGGCTGGGCATTGGCCTTCGCACCTGACCTTCAGGCAGATAAGGCGAGGGCGGATGGAGTGATTTTCATGTGACTATGTGATGTCACAATTGATGGATGTTTCTTCTTTTTTAAATATACCTGTTGCTGTTTGATTTACATTTTGTTTACATTGCATTGCTTGCATTAGGAATATGGACTCTGCCAAAATACTATTGCAACATGTGCTTCCAGGAAATCGTGCTTGCTGCGGTTGCAAGCAATCCGCTTTCGCTGCAATTTGCATCAGAGGCAGGACGTTCTCCGCTCTTGGCACGATGGGACGAGTTTCTTTTTTCACTCACTGTGACGCATGTGGAGTTTCGGCAGGAGCTGCGGAGTGATCCTCAAGTCGTACTGAAGGCGGTGTCTCTCAAAGGCTGCGCCCTGCGCTTTGCAGCGCCCCACCTCCGCAGAGATAGCAAGGCACTGCGGACAGGGGACCACAGCTGAATGCAGATGGCAGAAATCCCATGTTTCGAGATCACAGGTTTGTGTGTGAGCAGCAACAATAGCAACACCAACGATTTTGCGCCTTGTGGCTTGCAAATTTGAGCTAATCACCGTTTCGCCCAAACAAGTGTCTTTTGAGAGCTTCTGCCAGATTGTCCGCTCTGCGGTGAAGTCCGATGCTGCAGCCATTGAGCTGGCAAGCGGCATCAATTGGCGAAAGTGCGGCGGCTTGGTAGTTCAGGCCGACTTCCGGGAATTACCCTTTTTTGGTGTCAACAAGCTGATTGTGCCGATGGTGCTTATACATACTACATGGTTTCTAGCTTTAATTGATTCGGAATGGTCGGATTGATATATCGGATTGATGCTTCTCTCTTTTAGTGTAGAATTGTGTAGACGTGTTGACAAACAAGACCAACATGTTGCGAGGAGTATCAAGCTTCATTTAAAGTTATGGATACAATTTTTTCTTGTTTCTAATAGCAAACATTGTTCCTAGTAGCGATGCCAGCAGCCCCTAGTAGCGTCCTTGCTCCTAGTAGCGATGCCAGGAGCCCCGAGTAGCGTCCTTGCTCCTAGTAGCGATGCCAGGAGCCCCTCGCAGCGTCCTTGCTCCTAGTAGCGATGCCAAGAGCCCCTAGCAGCGTTCTTGCTCCTAGTAGCGATGCCAGGAGCCCTATAGTAGCGTGCTTGCTCCTAGTAGCGATGCCAGGAGCCCCTAGTAGCGTGCTTGCTCCTAGTAGCGATGCCAGGAGCCCCTAGTAGCGTCCTTGCTCCTAGTAGCGATGCCAGGAGCCCCGAGTAGCGTCCTTGCTCCTAGTAGCGATGCCAGGAGCCCCTAGTAGCG